ATACTATCTCATAATTATGACTTAGCTATCTCATGAGATAGCTAAGTCATAATTATGAGATAGTATCTCATAATTATGAGATTCTATCATAATTATGAGATAGCTAAGTCATAATTATGAGATAGCTAAGTCATAATTATGAGATACAAGTTTTATTTATTTTTTATCAGGGTGGCGGAAATGGGCTTCCATAGAGTAGAAAGTACAGATAATTGAATTAAAATGTAAGGAGTAGAAGTAAAAAGTAGGCTGAAAAATAATTACTCCACTAAAGTATAAATAAACAAAATTTCTACTTAAGTAAAGTAACAAACTTAGTTACTTGACACCTCTGCTTACCAATGATAATCCATAACCCAAATATGTGTGTTTAAAAGACTTTACATTTTCATTTATTTATTGCAGATAAATAAACAGCACATAATTTCAACAATTTAATAGCAGTTTTTTTAAGATAAAGTAAAAAGCTGTGAAAATAAGACTTATTTCTAAATCAAATGTGGGATTGTTGCTGACATAATAAGATCACTGAGATATATAATCATTTCATAAAACAATAAACATGTATGTTTTATTGGAGGTTATAATGAACTCATCAGCTTTGATTATTTTTAAGCTTCTGGTGTCAGTATTCATCATGAAATGGATACTCTGGATGATCGGACCACCTGTTGAGCAAAAAAACAAAACAAAAAAAAAACAGAAAAATTAGCTAATCACAAAGAGAGAAAACCACACAGGTTGTGCTCCACTCACATGAGAAGCTCCACAAAACGAATATTCTTGTTCAGACCCTCAATGGCTTTCATCTCATCCTCTGACAGAGAGAAGTCAAATATCTGCAGTTTTAACAAACAATCTGTTTAAAACCTTTTTAAAATCACTGCTGTGTGTTATATTTTGTAAAAAGGATGAAACAAGCACATACGTCAAAGTTTTCTTTGATACGATCAGGGTTGAAGCTCTTCGGGATGACCACGACGCCTCTCTGAACGTTGAACCTCAGGCACACCTGGGCTGTGGTCTTTTTGTACTTTTTGGCAACAGATGTCAGAAGTTCGTCTAACAACAGCGGGGGGCACTTCAGGTTCACCCTGTTTAAAAACAAAGAAAAGAAAGCATAAATTATTTTAATTTGAATTAAATATGCCAAAAAGCTGACTTTAAAAAAACTGTCAGATCAATCGCTGCAACAAGTGATTTCTTATTTTTGTCTCGTGAAGGTTTAGGGTCTCGTCTGTCATATTTTTAAATCTATAAATTGTTAAATTATTTCAGTAGATAACAGGTCTACATGTAAACTTAAATGTTTGCATGTAGCTTGTCTTGCTAAAATGAGCAAAACCTTTCTCATTTCACAAATGACACTTGGGCACCAATAAAGGTTCTAAGGCTGTTTTCTGCCATGCAAGATAAGATAAGATAAGATAAGATAAGATAAGATAAGATAAGATAAGATAAGATAAACCTTTATTGTCATTGTATAGAGCACAATGAAATTACAGTTCAAAACAACCATTCACAAGAAGACAGAACATAACAAACAAGAGAGCAGGTCATGCAGCCATAGACCCCTGCACAGAGCAAGGATCATCATCATGAAAGATCATCATGAGGAGGCGCAACCCTTAAAAGAAAAACGAAATACCACACAAGGATAGATGAGGGGGAAAAAACAAAACATCATATCAACGAAATGTGACACTAAAAAAAACCCTCTGTAGAGCAAGATCACATTTATTAGCCAGAGAAGTAAGTTAAGTCAACGTAAACACCAGGAGAAATTGGATCCACAGCCCTCAAGGTCATATAGGGGAGTAGAGTTGAATCTGTAATCACAGTTGTTTGGGAACAGAAGAAAAGGTTTTGGGTCAGGCAGACAATTATAATTTTCCATCTGCCTTAATGTCCGCTGGTACAACCCAATGTGGCAAATCTAATCAGACAAATAGTGTGGGCAATCCCACCGAGCCGAGCTATCACCTTCTCCAAGATCAATTCCACCTCCCCAGCGAAGTCCAGGGACTGCAGCCGGCCCGTGACCCTCAGCAAGAACCGCTTGCAGACCGAGTCCCAGCTCTCACAGGGCGTGAGTCCGAGCGCTGAAAGCACGGCAATCCTTCATATTGGTCAGGCAGCCAGGAAATGGCCTGAAAAGCCACCGGCGCTGTTTTGCAGATCACCAGGAGACCACCGAGCCAATCTGTAGAATCCAGTGATCAGAATCCAAGTATATCCAGCTAGTTGTCCCAGTCGAACAGAGGTCCCACCTTTGACATGTCCTCTCATGGAAGAAAATTTGTTCCAAAATTTTATTGAGACCAGCTAACCAAATCCATAAAAATAAAAATATCCATAATTTCTGGTTTCAGATGAAAACGTACAGTAGAGGAGGCTCCGAGCAGCAAAGCAAGGAAGATAAGGAAGGGCAGGAGAGAAGGAAAAAGTGTCTTCTTCTCCGAGAGCAGAAACAAAATACATTTGCTAAAAGTTAGAGGCAGAAACTGGGGATGTCTTGTAGAAGATGTTTAATGTAAGTCTTCAACATTTCCCCAACATACATAAATCCTTTCATGCTTTGACTTATTTTAATTTCATGCAACAGAAACAATAGAATCCCTAAACTGATTGCAATTTTGCATGAAAGGGTTTCAAAATCGTTGGGGGAAATTTCTTTAAAATGCTTTTTTTAGACTCATGACTCATTGACAATCCTTTTTTTTTTCTATTCACTTTTAAACCCAGCTCAGTTCAATCATTATATTACAATTCTAAACAGTTGTATTTATTTAATTCTAGAAGGTAATTTAGTATAAACTCATATATCTAGGCAGCATATTGAATTTTTGCATTTATCCTGAGCATGCCCAAAAGGAGAAAAAAAAATCTCAGATTCAGTACAATCTTTGTACAATTTAAATAGGATTTAAATAATTAATAGATCCATGTACATCTTTAGATTTTACACACAAATATAATGACATTGTATATATTTATATCACCTGTCAAACTTAAAACTCACAACCTATCTGGTTTTTGTTACAACTTTATCTAATATTTTAAATGAGCTGCTTTTATTTTAGATTTTATATAGTGTTTATTGGAGAAAATTACATAATAAAAATAAAAAACAAGATATAAGCAGTAGATTTATTTAATAAATATTAGCTGAAACTGACCCAAGTTTATTATTTTGGCTCCCAGTGTTGAGTTTGACACCTATAATCTCTATAATCTCTTTTTAATAAGAAAAAGTGAATGTTTTTGTATCAAAACTGATACAGTTCTTACATATTAAAAATGAAATGGACAAAGAGCCCCTACCATGATGCATCTCTAGATGTCCCAAGAGGACTGTAACCGACAATGACGATGTCTTTCTCCCGGCAGTACTCAAGCAGTTTGGGCTGGGTGAAGTATGGATGGCATTCAACCTGAGTTTAAAATATTAAACGTACATTTTGTTAGTAAGAATCCCCTGCTCTGTGCTCACAAATTCAATAAATGCAGTTTAGTTGTCTTGTTCGTTCCTTCTTCTGCACAAATCTATCATAAAGTTAAAGTTAACATGCCTGGTTTGACACTGGTTTATGTTTCAGTCCAGGTTTGTTCAGGATCAGCTCCAGTTGACGTTTGTTGAAGTTGGACACTCCCAGAGACTTGACCAGCCCGGCGTCTTTGCAGGCTTCCAAGGCCTGTCCAAGATTTAAAATAATAATGATAATTATTATTATTCCGCGAGAGTTCTGCAGGGTAGCATACTGGGCCCATTGCTTTTCCTATTATACATAAATGACCTTCCAAAGATATTGAAGTATTCAAATATTTTAATGTATGCTGACGATACTGTTCTTTTTTTGTCTGATTTCAATATTGAATCTATTAATAGTCAGTTACAAGCAGATCTTCAGACATTTCATGGTTGGCTTCAAGATAATCTTTTGTCAATTAATGTTAAAAAACTGTGTGCATGTATTTTTCCTCACCCAGGAGACATTTCAATATAACAAATCAACTCACTTTTTTTTTAACAAACCCCTTGATATTGTCACTACCTACAAATATCTTGGAATTACTTTGGATTCTCATTTGACTTATCGTAATCATGTACAAGTCTTAACCACTAAGTTGAAACAGAAATTATACGTTTTTTCAAAAATTAGATCCAATCTGACATCTTCTGTTTCAAATATCTATCTTCCTGCCATTATACTCTCAACCATGTCATACTGTTTACCTGTTTGGTCTCACAACAAACGAAATCTTAGAATCCATAGTTAGGCTCTAAAACAGGGCCTACAAAATTCATAAAAAACTTCCTGGTTGGACTCATCACTGTGCAGTTCTTTCATTGTTTGATGCCTTGACTTTTCAGAATTATGTTTTGTATAGTGGTATTAATTTACATTTTCAGATCTTCCAAGGTGCCAATTATGGAACTCTCTGTGCATTGCTGCCCAAATCAAATTCTGGAAGTGGTCATTCAACTAGATCTGTTACAAAAGAACAACTGATATTACCAACTTTTAAAAACTGTTATGGCCAGAGGTCTTTCTTCTATGTTTATACTAAAGCATGGAATGACATTCCTCAAAACATAAAGTCCATTTCAAAACTACAGCCCTTTAAGAAGAATCTTGTCTGCCATCTGCTGGACACAATTTGTTGTGCTCATATTTAGACGTCCTATTTTGCAAATGCTGCCTTCCTGAAATTTGGTTTGCTTGTTTGTCTTTGTGTCTATGGTGTATAATGATGTGATTGTGATGCTGTAATTCTGAGTGTTTTATGTGCTGCAGAACAGGAACCTGCTGTAAAACAGCAATTATGCTGAGTCAGGCTTGATTTTTAGTAATCTTTTCCTGTTAAATAAATCAAATCAAATCAAATCAAATCAAATCAAATCAAATAAATAGTCTGGTCAGAAATCAACAAATTGAGTAGTAGTGGTAGTAGCTGAGAGTCATGCACAACACACATTCTGAACATTTTCAAGGTTTGACTAAAATGGTTTTAACTCTGTCTCTTTCTCATCATGAGTTAATCATCTAAAACAGGTTTTCAAAGCACCAGGGGGAACTAGGGGGCCTCAAAAAGCTGTGGGGAAGATTAAACAAAACTAAAATAAATCTAATAAATGTGATATAAATCGTAAATAAATAGTTATTATAAAATTAAATCTGTTTTTCAATTATTATTAAAAAATATAAATCATAATAATTTGTTTATTTCAAGCAGGTATGAAAAACAAAAACAATAATTATATATTTGTTATTCAATTTTTATTTGAGTGGTTTGATACTTTTTGTTCTGTTCTTGTCAATAGTGTTTAACATGTTAGTTAATAAAATTCTTATGCTCATAATATGTAACATTTATTGAATAGTGAATAAAGGTTTTATTAAAAGTACTGAAAAAACATGATACTATATTATGTATCAGCATAAAATGTTGTTCAGACAATGGACCTGATGCTGTTTTTTAAGCTTGAGTCTGTAAAACACTTTTATTATTATTATTATTATTATTATTATTGTTATTATTATTACACTGTAAATGGTTTCACCCTCGTTTAGTTATCCCCACTTACTACTTCTCTTTAACACAAAGAGCTCTGACAAGTTTTGGATTTTTAACTCAACTTAATGAGTCTTAAAATATAAAACGTATAGTTATTCATTATGTTAACTATTTGAGAAATTTGTCAGATTTGCAAGTGTTGACTGAACTTGAGTTTGTAAGTTACCAGTTGAAAAAAAGGAGAGGGGAAAAAGTCGGGAAGGTAAAACTTAAAGTTATTCATTGTGTTGACAATTTGGGAATTTGTATGATTTGATTGAACTTGGGTTTGAAAGTCAGACAGACCAGTATTTACCCAGCTTTCCTTGCTGAGAAATTATACAAAAACAATGTTTTTGCATGTTTATAACTATTAAAGACGTTAATGAGAGTAAAAATTAGTTGTTCTGGTTAGTTTTCTTGTTCAGTTTGATCAAGTTGTTCAACTTTAAGTTTATGTTATTGGCCAAAAATCGACACCATGAGTGAGAGGCATGCTGGTGTGTGAAGAGTGACTCCATTATACTTTTCAATTAACCACTGAGCTGGGTTAATGCAACACTACAAAGAGTTAGATATTAACTCTTGAGTGTTAAATTTAGACTCTCAAATATATGGTGTATTGACACATTGTGGTGTCTGTTAACTTTCTAACACCATGTATCATGAATTGAAACAATTTTGGGATTTAAATTGTCTTAACTTAAACTGTAAAATCATATTATTTTAACTCAAAATAGTGAGTTACATTAACACAGAAATGAGTGTTTGTTCAACTAGCTAAGGAACGTTTATCATGTTGATGATGTTTAATTTTTAATTGTTTCAACTCAGAGTCTTAAGTTAAAACAGCTAGTGATTAACAGTTCAATCAACTTTGACAACTTAAAAAAAACCACGTTGACACAACAAAAACAATGTGCAATCAACTTTTTTAACTTTAACTACTGCACAACAACATTCCATAAGTTGAGTTAACATGCGTTTTTAAGGCAGCAGGTGGACTTTCATTTGCAAGTTTAACTGACTTGAAACTTCTTACAGTGTATTATTATTATATGAATTTATTTTAGAGAAATAAAAGACAGATGTTAGACTTACTTTTTTCCCTCTGCCTCCTTTAATTTTATTTACGAATTATGTTTGGTTTTTTTTATTGTATGTTGATTTTTTTCTTCCTGTTTTAATAAAAAAATGAAAAGTCAGAAAAAAACATTCTAGAACTTTTAGTCTTTTTTCCACATTTTGTATGTTTGTAGGTTTGCAGAGGTGGTCCCTAAGAGCTAATGCTCTTGGTCTAAAACTGGAATGGACTGTTGCAGATAATGTGCATTCCATTGTTTAATTTTTGAGATATTTTGCTAACAAACAAAAGATAAAGTGTATTTTTGTGTTTGTGCAAATACATGATTATCAGGTTTTATAGTGACAGGAGATAATCATAAAGGTTGATAGAAAACCTTTGCATTGTGGCGTCCTAACCTTGACCTCAGACCTTTAAACTCAAACACCAAAAGTGTAAATAATTTGGTATTGACATACTTTACTCCATAAATTAGTTAAAGTACTCTGTCACCTCCCATGTGGCACAGAGGTCCGTCTCGTGATAAATGTACTTCCCGTTCTCATCTCGTGGGTAGAAGGTGTCTCCTGGCTTCAGGAAGTCATAAAATGAAAAAAAAAAATGGTTATAGAAAACATAAAGATGAATAGAATACCCTGTTTGATGAGTTATTTGGGACATGAAAGGCAGTTGTAACCTTGAAAGCTGTGGGCATTTCCACAATATAAAGATCAACATAACCCAGCTGTAGCGTCTTCAGTGTTTTTTCTAGAGCAGGTTGGACCAGCTCAGGGGAATGGAATGTGTTCCACAGCTGTGAAATCAGAAAACTTGAAATGTTATTATGTTGTTAAAAGTTGTCGCAAAGCTGTGGCAGCAAGTTTATCTTTATGGCCATGAAGTTTGCTAATATAAAACAATGGAACAGTGCACGGTTCAGCCCGAGAACGAGGAAATGTTTTCAAACCTTCCCGCAGTAGAAGATGTCCTCTCTCGTCACGGTTCCGTCTGCTATTTTGTCTCTAATGGCTTGTCCCACCTCATGCTCGTTGAAGTAAACCAAGGCTCCGTCGATGTGTCTGTACCCTACTTCAATGGCGAGTTTGACAGCCTCATATGAAGTTCCTTTTGGAGTCTAATAAAAAAAAAATACAAAAGATTAAACAAGATAATTACTTTTTCTGACAGCATGTCATTTGTTTTTTACCATGCGGGGATTCCCATAAGTTCCCAGTCCTATTAAAGGCATGCTGTTTCCATCACTCAAACGAACTGAGTGGCTTTTAGCAGTCAGCTCCATGTCCTGCCCTTTGCGTCTTTGGTTGAAACCCCACTGCTTAAGTGCCATGTGGATGATCTCCAGTGTTTTTTTTTTTTCTGCTCTTTGATCAGTGACACGACTCCTCCCAGAGCAAAAGGAGCAGCCTCCAGCACAATGATAAACCTGCACTATCTGACATTTTTGAGTAAATGTAACAAAACCCTGACATGAAACAGAGAATGGCATTAGTGCAGAACTCAAAGGTTACTAAGAGCAAACACCAAATGTAAAACAAGAGAGCAGGAACTGTGCGTTTTCTCGTGTGTTTTAAAGATTGCAGTGAACTGAATCATTGTGCAAGAGGCACCATTTGCAACACCACTAAAGACAATCATTCACTTGGCCGTGTTATAGAATTTTTTTTTGGTGTGTGTGTGTGTGTGTGTGGGTGGGGG